GGCTACAAAATCATCAGCTTAGACAATTCCCAGCAAAGACAGAAACAGCGCATCTTACGTGTCCAGTGCCGCTGAGGGTGAAGAAGTACCCAAAGGCCGAAGTAGTGACATAGTGGTCAATACGATCAAAGAAGTCACGAAGACCAAAGTATCGAGAGCGGCCAAAGTGTTGAATAATGTCGACATCTTCTTGGTTTGGAGGAGGCGTGACGCCTTGCTGTCCTGGTGAGGTTTCCATCTCGAAGTCAATGTGCGTTTTGTGGTGTTTGCTTTGAAAACGCGAAGATGGAGTGGAGGAGAATTGGAAGATAAAAGGAATAAAGGGGACTGATTAAGTGTGTGATAATGTGAAGAAGAAATGCAAGAAAGAGAGGAACAGAGTGAGGTTGGTGGTGGCGTCGATAAACGCTGTGAAGAGGAGGAGGTGACACCAGAAGAAATGAGGAAGAGAGATGCTGTCTTGGGGCAAAGTTGAAGAAGCAGAAGATTAGATTATATCAGAGAAAATCAAACAGAGGCTCTTAGTTTCTGGTGTCAAGAGGACGAACCACAAGAGCAGAACTGTAACCGGCAGACACTGGCAGCCGTCTCGCACTGCACTGCCAACAACCTCGACGTCAGTCGGTATCTACACCTCGAACCCGATAAGATGAGTTCTCTCTCGTCAACTCTTGTTACCGAATTAACGGGTATGCATCACAAGACTCGAAGTTCGAGTCCAAGTTGCGAGTTGCGCAAGATGCACACACACGTACAGACAGACACAGCATAAGCCCAGAATGAACAAGAACAAAAGTGAACAAGATCTATAAGGCTGTGGGTGGTTTTGGGTACTTTTATGTGTACACAGCGTTGAGAATGTTTGCCTTGGTCAAAGGGGAGGGCATTGTTTCCACGGCCCGTCTGTGTAATATTCGTTACCTTGGTTCGAGGGCTGGACCTAGCATTTGGGTCTTGGCTCCTCGTCCGAGCTTATTGTCAAGGTGATGCGTTTGAGGCGTTGTGATAGTGAACATGCTGGCAAACGGGCCTCATTATAGGCAAGTCTGGGATGAACAGTGATTAAGAAAGGAGTTTGACTCATGAGGATGTATATTTATACTGAACTGATAACTGAGATACAGTCGAGATCAAATCCATCTCGACAGGAGCCATTGGATACCTGAACATGGCCAACAGTCCGAGTTGATTCACCTACCACACATATCCTACCCCTGAATTCACCAGAAAAGGGTATTCTTCAATGAGATCATGATCCAGGGGGATCCCGTTTCCACCACTGAGTTCCTGGTACCGACCCCTAAGGACACGGGTTGAGTGTCGTACAGACCAGGTGTTCGTCCCACCACATGCAGCTCGCCGACGTTCGCGAAGCGAGAAGGCGTCGGGTGTGAATGGTGACAAAAGGCGTGGTTGGCTGATACAGATGTAGGACAATGCCCGGTATGTCTGTAGCCGAAATGGACTGGTTCTTGCTGGTGTTCTATCGACGTGGGATGCAGGCAGAGAACTATTCGGCGGAAGGGGGTCACTCATGTGTTTACGCTCGATAATCACAGCCGAACAAGAAAGAACACAAGGAAAGACATGTCTATCACCATATTGTATAGTAGGTTCTTTATCCTAAGTTAATGCCTAACAATGTGACTGACCATTGGTTGATATCTAATGCACTGAAAGTCGCCCCCTTTCACTTACACAGAGAGCTGGCTGAAAGTCATGTGGTCTTTTTGTGAAACCAGTCAACATCCTGTATATCAATCACATACAGGCAGAGAATATGATCCTCTTAATCAGGGACGATTAGCATTGCCCGCATGGCTTGATGCTGACATTCTTACCAGGCTGTGAGGCCCTCAATGACACCTTGCTGCATATATCAACTCGTCTCAACTTCTGCTGTCACACATCCGCCCCGAAATCCACACTGATTAACTGCAGTAGGAATATTTCTGGAGCTATTTTATGGGGGCCAGTGAATCTGTGACATGAGTAAACCTTGAGTTGATCATCCCAACACTTGATCTCACACCTAATCATCGTCCTGTCTACCAAACGCGTATAAGTGACCCTTCGTGACCCCAGAATTACTCCTCACAGTAATTTAACAAACTCTCACGTCATTGCTACTTCTGTAACCACTGGCTCTTTTTTCTCCGAACTGGGACCGACATTCTCGTTTGACACTCGCAATCGCTTGGTGCACCTGACACTGACACGCGGGTGCTCAGCAACTGTCAACCACATACTTCACTTGATACTTAACAGCAGTTTTCACACTCTTAATACTATTATTTGGACCTTGTACTAGAGGCTAGTGACTCTCTGAGGCAGCGACCTTTCGTTTACCTTTACTCCTCAACTTCTCGCAGCCTCCACCCCCACTCCTCCGAAAACACACACATTTATCTAACAACACCACCTCCTTCGCTATCAAGAAATAGAAGATAAAGGCATCTGGTTTTTGTTTCCGAACCCCTTGAAGCTTATGCGAAGTCTACTTCGTAACCCATTCTTTCACCTAGAATAGATACATTTATTCACTGGACCTACACACGACTTGCTCCGATCTCTCTCATAAACAACAAAAAATCACCCACCTTAGAATAAACCGCAACAACTAATATAAAACCATAGAGCACCAAACACAATGTTCGACGTCATCTGGGTCGACCCCGACCGCGAGCTCGTCGGCGAGCATCGTGCCAAAAAGGAAATAAAGCGCGAACTGAAAAACAAGGAGAGGGAAAAGGAACAAGAGAACTCAATTCTCAGCCGCTCAATCTCCGTCACAAGCACTCGATCCTCTACAGAATCTCGCTTCGGGTTTCTTCGACCCCGAAATGGCAAAAATGCAAAGGGCAAAGAAAAGACTCCGTCGGGTCTTTTGACTCCAAGTCACCACTCCTCACGCTCAAACTCGGGGAGCTACCATCGCTCGGCACTTATGGCAAACTTGTCGAATGTTTCCCTCGGAGCAGAGCGAGCACACAGAGCGAATACTCCGGTTTCCACTGATGCGTCGTCTTCACACGTTGTTAAGCGCAACGAAGTCTCGCAGCCTCGACCATCCGACTTGGAGAACTCAGACCTGTGTTCAGAGGTGTACGGCTGCTCTGAGCTAGAAGGCGATCACCCTCCAACGCCGACTGGTTCCATGGGAGATAGGTAACTTGATCACTCACAGAGAGGGAGAACACCACTGACCTTCTTGTAGAAACTTCCCTGTTCCGATACTCCAGCCAGAATCACCCAACAGTCTCGTACCAAGTCCTAGTCTCTCCAAGGAACCGAAAGCTCCCATTGTGATCAACTTCCGACCCAACGATCCCGACTCATGGCGCCCACCCGAAGAGTGGGAGTACATCGACCGACAAGCAGAAGAGGCGCGAATGCTTGAGAATCAGGAAGATGTCGAGATGACCGTTGATGCAGAAGAGACGGTTCGAGTGAACCCGTGCACAGACTTTGAGAGTGTAAAGGATCAAGTCAAGGGTATGGCGGCTTCGAGTCCCAGCATGATTCTTGCGCGTATCAAGGAGATCTGGACCGTTACCGACGAGAAGCTCCATGGAGAGTTGAACATTGAGCTGAAGCGATGGATGCTTTCTGTCCTGCACTATCTGGACATTGAGGCGAGGGATAGTGCTGGTGTTGCTTGCGCTGTCACAAATACGTCTGACAATCTTGGGGTACTGGCTCTCTACGAGTCTGAGAGTGAGTGAATCTGTGACTACCATAGTCGCGTAGTGCTAACAACATTAGACACGGCAACATATATTGCAGCTCTTCACTCAAGCAGGGAAGTATACACTTTGACAACAGCGTCCTTCCAAAATAAAGAGCTTCCGGACATTCACCCGGTATTGGTCCCGTCCATGACTCCCTCGACACTCCCGATTGACCAGCACTCATTCACCATCGTATACTCGCTCTCTTTACCCGCCGTGTGCTCTTCACCCGAGATACCAGGGGTCCTCAAGAACATCAGCAACCGCCTTCGAGTCGGTGGTTCCCTGCAACTCACTCTCATCGACCCGTTACCCTGCGCAAGTACACTCGGTCATCGCATGCGAGCATGGCTTCAAGAGCATTTATTGATCAACCTCGAGCGACATTTCAAGTGCACGAACCCAAGCAGACTGTTCCCAGAATGGATGGGTGATGCTGGGCTGCGCGGTCAAGGAAGCACTCTCACAACCTCAAAGTTCTACGCTGTATCAGCCAGTATTCGGAGCCAAGCCGACGACAGCGACCCTTTCATAGACAGAATCCCTTCTGAGAGAGAAGTGAAAGCAGAAGTCCGTAGCATCATCGGTCGTCTGCTTTGGATGGAAGTCTGGGGTAGTTTCGTCACTGGGGATAAATGGTGGTGGGAAGACGAAGGCTGCGTCAACGAATGTCTCCAGCTGGGCACAGTTTGGGAATACCACATGATAGATGGCGTGAAGCAAGGTCAAGAGGACATTCCAGAAGAGGTAGAAGACCTCGAGAACTTGGAGCACTAGAGATACAGGGAAGATGAAAGACGTTGCTGATTTGTGTTTTTGCACTGCAGTTATCCTCATTTCATGCTTCATTCGTAAGAAAAGAATCAGGGGCAAGGGCCCTTTTTAGAGGAAGATGCCACACTATGGAAAGAAGGGATTATAGGGCGAGGATAGGTATATGGTCGGATATGTTCAGAGAGATAGAAGCAAGTTTTTATTTTGAGGTTGGCCAGTGAGCAACTGTGACGAGATGTATATGTAAGGGAATTGTATGATCAGACGAATGGTAGAGCCCTTCAAGGTAGAATTCATGGCATCCTCTGTTAAATGGCACTTATCTGAACTACCTAAGTATCTTATAACCTTGACCGTGTTTCTTAATTCAAAATCCGCGCTTGCTTCTGCCCTCGTATCGACGAATCTTGCAACATTTTGATATGGACTTTTGACATGGACCCTGCTGCTGTGCTGTCTGAATATTTACCTTTATACCCGACGGTGTCACCAGTTTTATTCCCAGGCTGCCTGGGCATCATCCTCATCTTCGGCCGATTGGATAGAATCATCTGAGGTTTCAGATCCCTCTTCACTGACTGATTCCTCACCATCAAATTCCCATAGGTATCCGTATCCTGATGGAGTCTCCCAAACTGGGGTTGCGAGTTCTTCTTGCAAGTCTAGTAGATGATCCTCTATATGTTCTGTTGCCAATTTCCATTCCGCGTGGTTGATTCGCTTGTCGACAGCTCGATACCAAGCAACCAGATTTTCACGCTCCCGCCGTTTCTCTTTGTCAACCAATAAGGCTAGGTGTTCTCGCGCGACTGCAATATCCTTCTCTTGCAACGCAACAAGTACTCGCTCAAGATTCTGAGTATCATTCTGTAGGGCTTGATCTCGAACGCCTTGATAAAGCTCGACAAAAGCCTGTTGCTCAGCGAGGCTAGGCCTACGAGCTCTTCCCAAGTCCCATTCGTCAGTAATATGAGAGAACTTGACGAGATGATCAAAGGGTGTGTCGCCAAATGAGTCTTGTTGATATGGGTCAATGCCGGATAGGTCCAAGTCAGAGATATAATGAAGTAGTCTTAGTGAAGCGTTTCTGGCGGCAACATGCAGCACGTTTCGAGAATCGTGACTAGAAATATTGACAGAGCAACCTGCATTTGCCAAAGCTCTGGTTACTTCCAATTTATCGCGACAAACTGATAGAAGGAAAGGGGTATTCCCGAGGTTGTTTCGTGCCTCGAGGTCAGATCCTGCCATGAGCAACATCTCAATGGCTGCTTCGATGTCTTGATGGTTGGTGTTTTCAGATTCGGCCAGATAATGAAGTGGCGTGTTACCAAAAGTATCTCGCTGCTTTACAGATACTCCTGCCGCGAGCAGAAGGCTGATGACCTCGGTGTTGGCATTCATCGAGGCGCGATGCAATGCTGTCATGCCTTCCTCTTCGCACAAATTAACGTTAGATTTGGAAATGAGCAGCATCTTTACAGCCTCGACGTTTTCTGCGTCGACTGCGATCATGAGAGGTGTCCATCCATTGTACGCTGGTTGATTAACATCGGCTCCAGCTGAAATGAGAACTTCCATGGACCTGACTTGGTTTTCATAAGTTGCAAGAAGAAGAGGGGATTCTCCAACGTCGTCAATCGTGTTGATAGCCCAAGGTTGCTCTTGCAATGCTTCTTGCAGATCCGTGCATTGCAAGATCGCCTCGTGAACCTTGGTCGTTGTCACTTCAGGAACATCCCGACAAAGATCAACGACTTTTTGAACAAGATAAGTTTGTTTGTCGTCGAGTTTATGGTATTGTAGTGATTCGGTGGCAGCAATCGCAGCACGTCTATCATTGTTCAGATAAGCTTGGATGAAAAACGTGATTGACGACTGACCTGGGTAAACCAACCTCTGTCAGGATGTTCTTCCATACATCTAGAAGAACCTCTAAAGCGGAGTAAAGTCGCTGACCAAGAGCATACTATTCATGTTAGTGCACACATACTGCTCCGTGGTGATTGGGGATTTTGACCAACTTCTATGAGTCCCATGCCATAAATATCCGTGTCATGAGGGTGAGTCCCATACTCTGTCACTGACCTCCTAACTACTTGGCTTGAGCCTTCTTGGTTAGCCCACACCACAGAGTTGTGTTTGATCGATCTAAAGGGGCGCAGGGCGCATGTCAACCCAGAGAGGCTGCTATAAGACGCACAAATCTTGAATGTTCTGATGAGAAACCATTTCGGGACTTGGTACTCCATTCTTAAGGCCGTGGTCCCCGTGCAGTAGCATCCTGGATACGAACAATCCTTTCTAGATGAGCTCTTACAACGCACAAGCCAGGACCCAAGGAGTGAGTGCATCCAACCAGCGCTTCGGTATTGACTCTCAGAGAAGTGACATCGGCACCGGCATACCGAACCAGATACTATTCTCTGATTTGGTATCATAGAATTTATCTGCACAGAGTCATTCGTGTGTTCTAGATTGCTGCCATGGCTATTGTTAACAGCCACTGCATCTAACTCTGGTGTGTCGTCACCCTGAAGTTGTTGAACTGGTGCTGGACTCTCTATGACTTCTGGTAGTTGCGGAGAACCTGAAGAGCTTATATGCATCGCATACATGTTTATCATCATCTGTCTCATTTCTGCCTGGAATCTGTTCACTTGTCAATATCGGAGGCCATAGTTAGGTTCTATATGTAACAAACTCACCGAATATCGCAGGACACGCGTGACGAGTTCAGAGCAAAGTGAAGAGTTTCCTTAGCTTGATTCATTCTCTGTTGGAGCTTCTTGATGTCGCTTTTCTCTACAAGCCATTTTATCTTCTTTGTCTTGCTCATCTTGTTCCCCTCTGGACCACTCTCGCGAGAACATATCCGTAATAACGCTTCGAGTTCTGCGGTGATCCCATTAAGGTTTCGAGCGGCAGTGTTGATGAGTCCTTGTTCCATTTCGGCGGGAGCCATTCTCGAGACAGCTTGGGCCATAGATTTGATCATCTCCAACTAAGAACCGGATGTTAGTCCAGACCACAGGAAAGGTTGTCAGCAAGTTAGGGGCCAACCTCCTTCATCAGATAGTCAAAGTCTTTTTGAATATCCGGAATCTCTCGAAAATAGAGATGGCATGCTTCCCAGCTGCCAACGCCTGCACAACAGCGATGGAGCTGGCTACGGCACCGAGGACCTCCATCGTAAGTGGTAAATTGTGTTTGTTCGCAAAGATAGCTTGTCTAGACTCGGGTCCGTGATCTTCACAGAGAAAAAGAAGAAGTCGGCATGGAAGAATCAAGGTAATCTCAGCTAGGGAAAAAGGCAATCGAAAATCAGGCTCTGAGAATGCCTACTTGGTTGGGCGAACCACCAACCAACCACCAATCAGATGTACATATTCACAGCCTCGACGAGCGAACATAGCCAAGGCATACCAAGACAAAAAACAATGGGATTTACTTGGTGAGATGCTGGGAGCCGACATCTTGTGTAACAATTCCCAAGCCTCAGACACAGTAACGCAGCTTGATCTGATGCATGGAGAGACGAGATTGAATGGGCAGTTTTGCACCTTCTTATAAGGCAAATCGGACATATATCTCTTTAATTCATTCCACGACTCCGATTCCTTTTATAGCTGAGTACGAACATAATTTCAATATCACGCCTTGATAGAAAAACTGACGGTGGCTAATGCCTGAATATCACTGGTGTTTTCAAAACACTCTGAGCAACAAATTAATGAAGAAGGCTAAATTATCACATGACATTTGAACTTTCTTCGCAATGTATTGAAAGTATCCTGGAAGTGTCGGGAACTCAATTGGATCCTGGAAAGCCACATCAGGCGAGTCTGTAGATGGCTTCATCTTCTCCGCAAACCACAAAAAGCCCATATCCAACCAAGGCGCAAAATACAAATGCATCCCGCTTTCCCCCGCATTTTTCACAATCCCTGACCTTTCAAGATCATACGATGTCCCCACCAATGATCTACCTACGTATATCACAGAACAAAAGTACGGCTAATAAGTCGAGACGACAAGCCCACCCTTGGGGGAGGCAGGAAAACCTGATGTCTCTTTTCTAAGTGATCAAATGACTTCGGTAAGCTCAGGGTGCCCTTTAGGACCTTTGGAACAGTTTCTAATAGCTTCTTAATTTACGGAGTACTGTCAAGAGCTTTCTCTCTCCCCGAGGACACCCTTGGCAAGCCACTGTCGATATCAAAGGGACCTTAACTCAAGCCCCCATGTCACATCCTTGACGCCATCGTCCTTTCTAACCCCAGATTCCGCATCATCTGTCAATCTGATTGCGTGAGTGCATTCCGGGGTAAAACCTGTCAGTGCTTCCTCCGGACGACCGGGAATGCATCGTCGAGACATGGATATCAAGCCATCCTGTCCTTGCAGGTGCTAAACTAGCTCTCCCCTACCTCGTGTTCCGCTCTTGACATGAGGGAGTCACACTCCAGCCACGTGTGTTGAGTAACTGATTATCAAGCTTAAAATAAGGTTGATTCATATTCGCGTGGCAGATATTAGTTTTTGAAACACAGTGCTGTATCACAAGATGGCAAAGGAGAAACATTCGAACTGTGGTAAAAGCACGTAGATGGCTCTCAGACTTTGATCAGCATTTAAATACTATTTGTAACAATACTGGGGTATCCATTATCCTCCATCTTTCGACGCTGGTGAAACCAACAAATGTCTCCCAACAAACTCCCCCTAGCTGTCTAGAGCACGCCTTGACCATCAAAGTCGTGTCTTCATCATATATAGTAACAAAAGAAAAAGGGTATCTGCAGCATCGTTTCCAATCAGACCCTTAGAACTGTTATACACGCACGTTGTCTCTCCGCTCATCGTCTGAAGTCGGCCGGCTCTCGTTGGCCAGTTCAGTCATGCTTTCCGTTTCGAACTTATTCGATCGCCGGAACTGACCGAGGTTGTGTCGATGGTGGCTGGTCATTGTTCTTGCGTTATTGGCCCCGACCTCTGGTGCCATTCCGCCAACGAGTTCTGTCACATCCGGCCTTCGACCCATACGTAGGTCGGTAGCCAAGTTCTTGCAAGCACTCCAGGATGTAACCATGTAGATGAGGGCATTCCAAAAGCCCTGAAGAGGAAGCACAAAAGCACTCATAAACTCAAGCGGTACAGATGAGTTTTTGGTGTGGAATACTGAGTACACACGGTTGGCGCTTGATGGGACCCATGTGATCAAGATGGCTGTGAAGAACAGCAGGGCACACTTTGTATATTGCCATGCTGCATTGCTGAGTTCTCGATTCCTCCTTCGAGCAGGATTGCCTCCTGATCGCTGCTGCTGCTGTGCAGGAACTTGAACACTCGCCCGTGTTTGTTGTCGTTCAATAGGATGAACTTCATCCCCAACGTCCCCGGAGCTAGGCTGCGCTGAGATATGGACCGAGTATGCGTTAGAGCTGGGATCACTAGGGTCGGGTGCTCGGCGGCCTCCCATGGGCTGAAGATGAATCGCATTCGGAGTAACGACCTCTGTGGTGACTGAAACCTCTGTGGTCTTAATAGTTCCCAGATGATCTCCAGCTCCATAAGTCAGATCTCGATCGGTGGAGCTAAAATCATCAAGCTCCTGTCGCTTGCGATAGATGGTGCTACCAGCACGGATGTAGATAAAAAAGGTAATGGCAATGACAACCCTGTGATGGTCAGCGCCCACTCCAAAGTCGAACAGGAACAATTACTTACCAGACAGGTCCGTAAAAGGTGATGATACGCCAGATATCCCATTCCATGCTCACCCAGCACCACAATGTGGCATTACCATACATTCGGTGTCCCTCCTTGTTCTTGATGAAGATGTATACGAAGGCGGGGACGAAAGGAATACCATAACATCCGATGAGATAAGGAATCTCCATCTTTCGTAATCTTCGAGCATCGAACTTGAAATAAAATGTCAGGTACACATTGATAGCCATGGACAGGGTCCAGAAGGCATCGGCAGGCATGAACCTAGTGCAAGTTAGTGTCTAGGAGCTTCGGTATGGTGTAAGTGAGCGTACATCTGGATGAGGAATGCCTGGAATTGGCAGCCCACAGAATTTGGTGAGCCTATATATGACCTTGACATCAATGTACCGACATTGGTCATCATGTTGCCAAAAGAAGCATAAAATACCAATCGGTTGATGGGTTTATGAAAGGCCTTGGATGACAAGAATGTGGCGATAATGAAGAGTGAGCCGAGTAATGAGAAGACAGAGCATGTCCGCTCAATGATGCTCAGAGCGCGGAGTTGCGAGTTTGAGAGATGTTCGGCGGAAGACATGATGGAAGTACCGAGACTCGAGAGAATGGACGGCAGTTAACTTGGGTCTTGGTGGTGATCACCAGGCAATTGGTGGTTCTCGTCGTCGAGCCGTGGTGGGGATGGAGAGTCGGTTTTATCGATAGTTCACCATTCTTCCAGCGTCTAGGTACTCGATACTTATGATGAGGTGTTGTTGGATGAAAAGAGGGAGACGCAAGTAAAGTAAAGTCCAATGCTCTATTGTCGGCCCAATCTTGGTTGGTTGGTTGGTTGGTTGGGTGTCCTCGGTATAGAAGGAGCGTTGGTATGCGCAACGGTCAAGTCCAAAAGCGTTCGAGGCTAAGGTAGGTAGTTGTGTCTAATAACAACCAACACTAATACCAACGATTGCACATTCAGGACAAAGGTGCAATTCCAAAGCGTGGCAAGCAAGGAGGAAACTATGCAGTGACCAAGGGGGGATGATTGGGGTTTTAAAGAAAACTGATGCAGATCACTATTGCATACACAATCTTAACCAAGAGGAGGGCGAGCAAGATGATGATGGCGGGGGGCGAGGGGGCAAGGCAAGATAAAAGTAGTTAAAGAAGAAGTACATAAGTGACAATTAGTCTAACCAAGAACCCGGCACAAAGGAAAGACCTGCTAGGTAGCATGTAAAGGAGGGGGGAGGGAGTAGATCTGTGTGTAATATGGCTCGCGGGGAGACTGAGAGGCGAGGGCATGGCAAAGCATGGCATGGCATGCGTATGCCCAAAGAGGAACACGGACAGAGCAAGACAGACACAGACGGTGGTGATATTGGCGCTTATGCTTATGACATGGGGTGTGGGAGGGTACAATAGACGAGTGATGAACTCGACGAGGATCCCCTGTAACCCTTGAGCTGAAGACGGACAAGCCTAAAGTCGATGTCTTATCCATGTCCCGGGGAATGCATGGGGATGAGAAATCTGTAAGACGGGCGGGCTCCACAGCTGCTGATGTGGTAACCAGTAGATCCTACAGCAAAAGAAAGACAGCCAAAGGAGATATGGAGACCCTTGAAGAACGGACATGTTGCCGATGCCGATAGAGGGACGTAAGCAAGTCATACATTTACCCAACGCCTCCTGAAGCCAACAGCATGGGAGAGGGCTCAAAGTTTCAAGCCACGGCGTTCTCGCCTAAAGAGGTATGATAGCACAGCATCTTGTGTCAAGACTGCACAGAGAGGGTATCACAGAAACAAGAAAGAGGTGAGTGAGAATGAGATCGTCTGTTTTGATCAAGTCAAGTGATGATAGTGCAGTGGTTTTTAGACTGAGAACATCCCAACATCTGCTGAAGATCCCCCAGAAATGATAATGGAACCATGCTTGCATGTCCCGGGCATGAGGAATTAAAATCCACGCACGTCAAAGATTAGAGAGTCGTGAGTGATATTGGTAATTGGTTGGCCGTCATCTGTTGGACCAGAAGTGAGTGAGAGAGAAATGGAAGAGAGAGACGAGAGGGTGGCGTCCAGCCCCAAGATCTTCACAGGTGGAGATGGATTGTGGAGTTTAGTCCAGTTTGCGGAGAGACCCCACTAACTTCACTGGAGCAAAATCTGCATTCAACTCATCTCATCTCATCTCAATCAGTGCAAAACACAACATTTGTGTTGGTCAGAG